TTTTTTGGCCGTAGAAATAACATACTCTGGTGCCATTTTAATTAGTTCGTTGAAGAAACGTTTTTGGTTAGCGTAGGAGACTCATGGCATTTGCAGACTTTATTTACATTGTGTTTGGTTGAAATGAATTTCACGTTGAATTGATTTCTAAAACTATATTATTATATTTTAATTTTATTTAAAACATTTCATTTTAATTTCGTGATTTCAATTCCATACCCTTATGTTATGTTTGATTAAAAATTGTGAAATTGATTTGTAATTCTACACTTCTTATGTTTGATTTAATTAACAACTAAGAATTAAATTTCAAACTTCTAAACCATAGAATTAATTTAATTCAAATTCTATTCATTTTGACACTAATTGAAAACAAACTCTATACTTTTAAGAGTCTATTACTTTCCTTTATAGATAATAATGAGAGTATTTTGAAAAAATGTAATATTTAACTCAACTTAATATTTACCAAGGAATACACAATAATGATAATGTTCTATATATAAGAAAGAACTAGAGGAAGAGGCAGGTCCTGATGTTTTATAATTCATCAATTAACTAGTACAGTATATGTTTGCATCTCTTCATACCTATGTATATCAGGTGCCCTGAAAGATTCATATGAAAATATTCACCTAATGTTATTGGGCCTTGTACACATTCACTTCTCTAGCATATAGTTGTTAATGGTTATTGGGCCTACTGCACTCTTTTCTACATGACTTGAGACTTGAGACTTGAGCGAGGTAGCCAAAATGGTTGTGGATTAGATAGTCATTAGTTTACAAGTTTAAGACTAGATTTGACACTGATAAAAGGGAAAATCATAATGTATTGATATTAAAATTTTCAAAATATTTAATAATAATTATATAATAAATTTAATAAAATTATAAGTTATATTATTTTTTAAATATTTAATAATTGTGATTAGATTTTTTTTTTTGCTTTTTAACATTTCTCAATTATAACGTATCTCTATAACATTTTTTGAGAGGCAAAATTTTTGGCTTCTCTACACGTTAGAAAAAAAAGGCAGGAACGGAAACGGTGAATACAAAAAAACAAACGGCATGGTGATAAAAGGAGAAGAAGACGAGATACTTCCAGATCTAAAGTGCCAAAAAGGACCAAATGAAGAACGAAAAAGACAGATCTAAAGCCGGACCCTCAAAAAAACGCAGAACCACTCAACAGGCAGCAAGGGAACGCCCTACAAGCTCAAGAAAACAAAGAAACTTTGGTTGGATGAGAAGAGCTAACAGCAACAACTTAACATCAGCGCATTATAAAGGGAGTGCATGGTATAGAGAATCCCTTGCTGGACTATAAAACCCATGAAATCCCTACACTTGTTTAAATTGCCCAATGCAGTCCCTGTAGTTGAAAAAAAAATCATTAAAATCCCTAAAACTTTGAATAAAAATAAAAAAAACCAACAAACATTATCTTTTTTTCGTACAATACATAACAGAGAATAGCCATTTCTTCTCTATCTTTTCCTCACCCATCCTCAAATTTAAATTTGAGAATTTTAATATAAAAATTTAAATTCTTAATTATTAAATCATCATCTTAAATATAACATTATCTCTTCATAAATAGACATGAGTACTAGAGATGTATTGTTTACCCTCCTTGGTATAAAATAGGAACTATCAATGGGGATCCCCAATATTAAGGATAGGAGAGGCCCCCAGTATTAGAAACCCTATACCCATAAATAATTAGTGTTTTATAATTTAATTAAAATAATTTAAATTATAAAATTATTATTATTATTATTATTATTATTGTTTTAAACAAATACAATTTTTGTACAAAGAGAGAATGGATACCAATAAGCGGGACCTAAAATTTTGTTA